CAAGCTGTCCCCACTCACCTCATGGCCTGCCTTAAAGTATCTCAATAGTTTAGATTCAAGTTGCTATTATTGCTACTCATGTATTCATTTTAAGTCTACTACTGGAACCTAAACACCTTGAAGGCAGGGGCCTTAAACTGTCATTGGAATCTCACACTAGGGATATCTCCTGCCTCAGTGAGAGCTTGGAGAGTGTGCAGTCTGTCAAAACTCTAAAAGCCAAGCCTAGTTGCTGATGAACATCACTGTGAGCTGGTCTAAAAAGGAGATGGGTCTATCCAAAGAGATCAGAAAAAATAGTGTACAGTCCATTGAAAATTTTCACCCTCATATATCTAACTTCATAATGTCTTATGCACATGCTCTGAGCATACATGGATGGTCTGAGGCTGAAATATATGTTCTTTTTAGAAAATGCAAACAAACCAATCAAGGCTATCTATATTTAAAAGCTGAAATAGAGAGTTTATAACCTAGATTTTCTTCCACAAAGTGCAAGAGAAGGTTGCACTTATATTTACTGTGTAGTGGTAACAGAATAATCACAGGAGTCTGGCAACTGGCAAGGAAACTTTGAGACAATCTTATCCAGTCTTCTCATTTTTCAAAGAAATAGCCCCAGTGATTGATTCACTAGACACCCGTGAAATTGGGACAGAGAGCCCAGGTTTACTGATTCCCAGAACTGTGATCTCTTCACAATATTATTTATTCTGTGGCTGATAAAATCACTTCTGCCTTTATATTCAATTCAATAAAAACAGAGCCTGTAAGTGCCAACAGTGACTTGCAATGACACTAGATGGTTAACGGAGAATAAGCATCATAAACAGGATAACGGGATGACCTCCACCCTCAGTGACTCATAATCAAATGGGAAGGACTTCTCACACCCAAGCAACATGTTTTTGGGGTAAAAGTTTATCTTGAGGAATCATAAAAATTTTCTACCTTTTCAACCCACTCAATTTGCCGAGTCCTTTCCTCCTGTACTATACTTGGAATATCTAACATTACACAGAATATCTGGTACAGGCAGCTAGATAAACCAGTTGAAAACAGAGTGCTCTAGAGCCTGGTCCTTGATGTTTGAGAGTAGGAAAATGAAATACTATACTTTGTGCAATTCTCCTTTGTACAAACTCCTGCACATCAGTCTATACGCTGGCATGCAAACGTGTAACTGTTACACCATCCAATTAAGAATGTCACTTAATGACAGGCTCACAGAGGGCAGGCTAACAGTTGTTGGCAGGGGCTGGAGTAGCTGGGTGGGAAGGGGAAGGGAGAGGAGGGATAAAGTAAAAAAGAAAAAACTCATGGACACAGACAACAGCATGGTGATTGCCGGAGGTGAAGGCGGGTAGGGGGATAAATGGTGATGGACGGAGACATGACTTGGGGTGCGAACACACAGTACAGTGTACAGGTGATGTGTTGTAGAACTGTGCATCTGAAACCAATATAATTTTGTTAACCAGTGTCACCCCAATAAATTCAATAAAAAGGGAATTACTTAAGTGAATGCACATCAGTGTTACTCTAATCAATGTTCCAAGCAAAGGCCATCATAGTAAAACACTGAAGGACACCACCTGATGAATCCTGTGAGCACTGTGAGTGACACATAAGAAAAGAGAAAGCACCAGTTCTCAGTGGTGTAACTTTGAGGACAGAGACTGTCTCTTATTGACTATATTATCATAGTAATAATTTAGGCTACAGCAATGATCAAAATATACTCATAGCTGAAAAGGATTACAATTCTATTAGTAAATTTCCTTCTCAGCAAGTATGTCCTTCACCTAGTTTTCCCTACTGTTAACATGTTACATTCTCACAGGACATAAACAGACCTAAGAAAACATTGGTCCATTAACCAAACTCCAGCATGGATCTGGATTTCCCTAGCTTTTTTCACTAATGTTCTTTTTCAGTTGCTGGATTCAATCCAGGAAAACCCATGTTTCCTTGACCTCCTCTGTCTGTGATGCTCCCTCAGTAATTCTTTAATTTTCATCAATTTAATAGTATTGAGGAATATTTTGCAGAATATCCCTCAGTTTGGGTTTGCCTGGTGCTTTTTCTCATGATTAGACTGGGTAGGCTGGGATTGTGGTTATTTATAACTACAGAGGTGCCCTTTGCATCTTGTAGTTGACTAGAAGGACATGATATTGACAGAACTTCTCACTGGTAATGTTTCCCATGATCACTTGGTTAAGGTAGTGTCTGTCTTCCTTAACTGTGAAGTTACTATTTACCCCTTCCCATACTCTCTTCTTTAGAAGTCATTTAGAAGCCCACACTCAAAGGCAGGGATGCCAGAGGTCAAGAGCTTTGAGAGACAGTTCTGCTTGGGCTGCAGCACACTTGATAGGGAGAAAGTTCACTTGTTTACAATAAAAAGTTGGAACAGAAGTGATGGGTTTAGAAGATGGGAAAACTAAGTTGCTTTCTAGCTATTTACCACACAAGGATTTCAATGTAAGAATGGTACTTCGATCAAAGTATCTTTTTACATTTACCAGACATGGGTAGTAAATTCTCTCCTTAGGAATCATCCAAAAGAAATAAGAAGAACAAGAAACAAAAATTGTAAACTTCAAATTCTAGAAATTTGAAACGCAAACCCTCAGCACACATGGAAGGGTTGCCAAGTGCAGAGAGAAGAGGTGCAGGAAGATGTTGAGAGGAGATGCCCAACCCTGCAGCTCCCTGGCACACTCAGCAAGAGAAGGAAGTCAGACAAAAGACGAAATTAGAAAATTAAATGTACAAAAATTAGGAAAAAGGTAATAAAATTACCATCGTTAGCAGATGTGATTATTTTCAAGTAAAACCCAAGAAATGCATTAACCATATTGTAAGCAATGAGAATTGAGCCATGTAGCTGTAATGGTTAATTTTATATATCAGCTTGGCTGGTCAAGCGATGCCCAGATAGCTGGTTAGACATTATTTCTGGGTGTGTCTGTGGGGGTGTTCCAGGAAGACATTAGCATTTGGACTGGTGAACTCAGTAAAAGCAGATGGCCCTCCCTAGGCCTGAATAGAACAAAAACATGGAGGAAAGCTAAATTCCCTCTGCACCTGACTGTAGGAGAGCTGGGACATCAATATTCTGCCTCAGTCTTGGTCCTCAGACCTGCAAAACCAGACTGAAATCTATTCAGTGGGCTCTTACCTCAGGCCTTTCGATTACACCACTAGCTTTCCTGGGTCTCTAGCTTGTAGACAGCAGACTGTAGACCTTTTCAGCCATCATAATCATGTGAGTCAATATTCTGTAACAAAGATGTGTGTTTCTGTTTCTCTGGGAACCCTGATTAATGGAGTAACTAAGTACAAAATCAGCTTAAAGGAATATACATAATATTATAATGAAAAAAACACCATTTACAGAATGCCAAACCAAAAAATAAATCACCTTATAATGTAACTAAAAAGAAATACTATATTGATAGTAACATCAACAACACATTAGCCATTGATTTAACACACAACCAATACCTACTACAAAAATAACTTCAAGAAGGTAGAAAAACTAATTCTAATATTTATATAAAAAAATAAACCCAGAAAAATGAAAAGTTATAGGGATGGGAAACTGATCAGTGGAAGTCAGGAACTGGGTGGTGAGAGAGTTGACTACAGGGAGGGAATTCTGGAGTGGTGGTTGGATATACAAGTCCAAGTATTTGTCAAAACCCATAGGAATGTACAGCATAAGAAATGAGTATTACTGTATATAAATCAGTAAGTCAACCAGAAAAAGAAAATAACCCACAAGAATAACCAAAAAAATTGACAAAGAGATTAGGGGAAGCTAGCTCTACCGTATCTGGTAGTTATAGTAATCTAAACAGTGTGGCATTGGCAGTTGAGCACACAGATCCATGAAACTAGTTACAAAGTCCAGAAATGGACCCAACTATATTGGGAAATTTAGTACATAACATTAGAAATCTAGAGAAAAAAGATGTTGTTTTAAATACATAGTATTAGGTTATTGGGTAGCATTCTAGAAGGGGGGAAGAAAGTACTCTACCATCTGTCAAAATAAACTCCATATGAATTCCAGTTGAATAAAGGATATAAACATAAAACATAAAACTTTTAAAATAGAAAAAATGGGAGAATTCTTTTATAATTATGCATTGAGGAAGACATTTGTTAGCATACTGACACAAAATGTGGTAGTCATAAAAGATAAGCTGTACAAAAATAAAAAATTTCTCCAAGTATCATTTGCTTTAAAAATGTATATACCATATAGACTTATTCTGGAAAGATGTGTGTAATACCGGCAACAGTGACTGCCTCTGGGAAATGACAGTAGAGAGACTGACACCAGAACTTTGATTATGCATAATTACCTATTTCAAAAATATTGTTTGCTCCTAGTCATCAACATAACTGAAAGCTCACAATAAAAAAAGTTGCTCATAAGAAACATACAATATGCTATTTAGAAATAACATAGTGCCCAATACAGTACTCAATACACAAGAGGTGCTTAACTTATATAGGTAGCTATTATTTGTCACTGTCTTCCTACAATACTAATTATTTTGAAATATATCATTACTATTTTCAAAGTTGGGAATTCCATATATGGTATCACTGCATACTGTAATATTCCATTTTTCCAAGAATAATTTCAATAGTCAACAGGTAATTAATTGGAATCTTTAAATCACTGTCATTTAGGTCCTTCAATGCCTGATCACATTCCCTTTTACTTAACACTCCTGGCCAACTGTGCTGGTTTTCAATTCCTGAGCATACCCTTGCTTTCTTCCATACTTTTGAAAATACCGTTTCTTCTGTTCAGAGAATTGTACCCCATCTCTGCCTACCAAAATCATTCTTCTTAAAAAGGGCCAGTGCAAATCCCACCTATCCACGAAGCTCTACACAAACTTTGTGGGTACATATTCTATGTACACAGACAGAAAGGAAACAAAAGATATAAAAAAGATACAAAGGCAGAATGATCCATTTAAAAAGTCATTTATTAAACAAGTTAAATACAAATAAAAGTATATTAAAATGTCTAACTATTGGATCCCTTTGAAATATCTATTCTGGGAAGAAGTATCTTCCAAACTTCTTAAGGGAAAGGATAAAAATACAACCCATATTAAAAATTTTTAAACAATAAAGTACATGGTAAATTCAGAAATAAAAACGAAACCATACAAACTATTGAAGTATGAAACCAAAGTGTTCATGTCTTTTAAATGCCTGTGTATACTCACATGAAGACCAAATTTGTCTATGTCCAAGTTGGTAAACAGTCTATCGATACCATTTTAACGTATCATAGCTTGTGTCACAGAGAAATAACTTTAGAATGTGTTGGGTGTGTAAATTGTTCACATTTAGCAATTATACTTAATGAAAAAATAACATAATTTAAACATCTTGATTTAAGAACTGGATCTGATGGTCCCGTTAAATTCCAACATCATAATTGCCAAATGCATTATCAAGAGTTTTTAAATTTTTTTTCTTTCTTTTTTTTTATAAAGCTGCTTCCAAAAATTTCAGGACTTTTGGGCAAAAGAAAATACCATGTATTCTTGTTTATAAATTCTGATGCTTAGGCTCTATGGTTAACACACAAAAAAAAACATGCAATAGAGAGACTCCTATAGAAAAGCTTCTGTTTTCTTCAGTAGTTCCAAATGGTGTTATGTAATCTGTCACTGGAAACAGTGGTTCCACCACAGGCTTGGCAGTAGCTTCTGTTTAAAACTTCGCTCGATAACATCCATCAAAGGTTTTCAAACATACTTTCTGGCAGCACGCATGGAGTCCGTGGTGTGAATGGGGACTGCCAGTGAGTACAGGGCCTGTATGAAAAAGCGTTTGCTCTGTGTGTGGGGTGCGTGTGTGTGTGCACGCGTTAAGGAGGTAATGGGATGAAATGGTTTATTCAGAACATAAACACATTTTCCTTATCACATCCCAACTGTGTAAATAATAGAAATCAAATATTTAGAATTTAAATGGATTCTGAATTTCTCTGAGAGGCAATTTCTTTCCTTTTATCGTTCTTTACAGAGGCCAGAGCTTCAGTTATACCTCTTGCGGACAGAGGCAAAGGTCTCAGTCGGAGAGAGAAGGAGAGCGAATAGACCTGCCGCTGGCGGGGCTGGAGAAGGTGAAAGGCTCCTTGTCCTTCTCTTTGCTCTCATGCTTGTGCTTGTGCTTGTGCTTATGTTTGTGCTTCTTCTTCTTCTTCTTGTGCTCATGGTGGTGGTGGTGATGGTGGTCACTGTGTTTGGAGGATGTCGATTCCTTAGAAAACACCGAGAGTGGGGCTGTTGCCACCGGATGCATACTCATCTCCAGAGGTGACTGCTCTTTACCTTCAAGATTAAAAACACCCAAATGAATTCCTGTTGATAACAAGGAAAGTGAAACGAGAGTAAGAGGGAGTATAGAAGAGAGGGATTCCTAAGTGTTTATTACTTTCATGGGAATAATTAGGAACAGAAGTATCCAAATAAGTATACACAAACAAGTTTTCAGCATCGTGGCCAGGAAGTTGAATATTTCAACTCCTGTAGTCTATACAAATTATGACATATGCCAATGTGTTATCAATCAATCTTCTAAAAATTAGTATTTACTATTTTAAAGTACTATGAAGAGACAATAATGATTACACTGTTATAGGTCAAGACCCACACTGGTCAATGAAAACATAGCCCCTTTAACTACAGCTGTGCCCTAAGCTATTGGAGGTGGGGGGTGGTAGCGCTGTGTCTATGACATCGGGAGAACCACTTATATTCACCTACCACATTATACTAAGTTACTGACAGCAACATCCCTCAAAACCCCAAATTTCTACAGTTCAGTAAGTTAATTTCTAGGAATGAATAGGCAAAGTGAACTCTTTAAGTATATTCAGCATCCTTAGCTTAAGAAACCCAGAAAAGGTAGGGAGTGTATAAAGAGGATGTGTCTACTTGAAGATAAGAGTCTTGTGATTAAAAACAAAGCACAACCTGAGAATCAGGAGACCTGTGTTCCAGAGCAGGCTCTGCTGTTAACCTTCAGCATGTGTTTATCCTTCTCTATCTCACCTAAAAAATGGATCAAATGTCTTTAAAACTTCTTTCCATTTCGACATTCTATCAGTCTAAGAATCAATAGTAGTTTTCAGGCTCCAGTGTCCAAAAATTGCTTCCTCCAGGCCCAATACTCCTTGGGCCAAGCCCTAAGGAAAAATTCTTTCTGTGTTATTCTAGGTTAAAGTTACTGCTTACATGCAGCCAACTAAGAAAAAAGCCTAAGAATCACCTCAGATCCCCTGCCTTTGAGATCTAGTTGGTTGCCAAGTCTTGTTGATTCTCACAGTGTCTCTTAAACCTGCCCTCTAACCTTGTCTCCCAGTGTATTAATTCCGACCACCTCACCTCACCTGGATTATATAGTACTAGTCTAGCCTCCTATTAACCTAGTTTCCTGGCCTACAGTGTCTTATACTCAGATCCTTACTTGACAAAGCTGCACAGCCATAGTTCTCAACCTGGGGCACTGTTGCCCCAAGGGGTTATTTGGCAATGACTGGACACATTTTGGTTGTCACCACTGGGATGGGTTTGGGGGAGGAAGTGTGATTGGCATCCTGTGGGTAGAAGCTAAGGATCCTGTCAAACAGCATACAATGCACAGGACAGCCCCTACAACAAATCTCATGGCCCAAATGCCAATGGTGATCAGGTTGGGAGAACCCACTACATAGAGATCTTCCTAAAAACAAAGCTGATCATAATTATGTGCTGAAAAGCTCAGTTCTAGCAACAGAATAAAAGGCAAAGTCCTTGAACTCCAGTGAAACAGTTTCTGAAAAAATATTTTTTTATCCAAACTAAAAAACTAGGCTTTTCACTAAAATGGACTGGAATGCAGTCTTTTCTTTTCTTTTTTAAAAGATAAGTTCTCATCACTAATTCTGATTTCAGTCCCAACCCATTGTTCTTTTTTTAAAAAAATAGGCATCACCACAGACATTTTCTAAAATCACTTTCAGCACTAATTTTGTTTACAGTTTATAACGTGTCCTGAACTTCCCTTTCCAGCCTTATCGGCCGCTGTTCCTTTCTGTGCACTCTAAGCTAGGCCTTCCACAACTCCTTGTATTTGTAAATGTTCCTCCCTGGGCTTCGAATGCCTTTCCTTTATTTCTTGTCTAACTTGCACATTCATTTAACCAATATCAGGAATGAACCTGACAGACCAAGTCTTCTTGGAGCTGACAAATAGCAAAGAAGAAACGGAATAACCACACCTCAGTAGTAAAAAGACCAAACATAGAGCAGGAGCAGAACAAGGGGCTTAAATTAGTTGGGGATGAAGTTAGAGGAAATCAGAGGCAAAATTCTCCACTGACTAACGTTTTAGCTAACATACAGGAAGGGAAATGGAAAGAGAAAACATTTTAGGTTCTTTGATACTTTAAAATTCAGCTCAAATGTTATTGCTTTGGAAGCTTTCCCCAAAATGCCCCCCATCCTAATTAGTTCTTTTATATTCCCACAACATAACACAGATGAGAAGCTTAAGGCACAGAGAAATTAAATAATTTGCCCAAGGTTGTACTGGGCAAATTTTGTCTGAGCTACAAAACCAGAGCCTGACACTAGAGTCCGTGCTCTTAACCATTCTGCATGTTGCATAGCCACATGTAGCACATCCTTTATCTTTGGTCTCTTTCATTAGACTCATCACTTCTTGAGGACAAAGAGCCTGTCTTTTTAATTTTCTATCCCAGTGTGTCCACAGTCTCTAGCAGCCACCTCCTCACCCCTGCTGAAGTTTACTAAACAAATGAATATAACAGAATTATATAACTGTTGTGTTTCTTTTTAAATAAAATGTCCGATGAACTTAGTCCGACTAAATGCAACTGAAGGTCACTAAATTTGAAGGCAGAGGGATAAAGCACAGAAACTGTGATAGATCCTCCAATTGGTGTTGACTACTGAACTTCCTTTGTGTCTGGCACTGTTCCAATTTTTAGAGCAAGTGAACAAGTCAGATAAAGTTCCTGATACCACAACATGACATTTTTTTATATTCATAAGTTTTTAGTAAAGCTAACACTAATTATATTGCAAAAGCTAAATAAAGAGATTACTTAAATATAGAAGCAAGTTTGGGGATCTGTATCCTTTGTAATAATTGATATCCAGATATTCTTCAGAAAAAGAAAAAAATTTGAGAGATATCTGATTCACAGTATCAACGAAATATGCCACTATATTAGTGATTTTCATCCGGTATGCTGCAGCACACTTGGTGTGCCACAAGAATTTTAAAAACATGCAATACCTGACTACTTAGTCAGGGGCATGTTTTCCCTTATCCTTAGATTGTCTAATTTTAAAAAATGACAACAACCAACACAACAATAGCTCTCTGGGGTGAATGAATCAATTATATTTATTTTCAGATCGGCAAAAATATTTTTATTGACGTGCC